TGTGGCACATTTTAAAAAGTAGTGCATGCGTTACTTTTACTGCGTTCGGGTGAGATTTGCTAAATCACACGGGAAATCGCAGAATCCTGTTGTGAACAGGTGCTTAGGCCTAGTTTACATTTGATGTTGGGGAGGAAGGGGGGTGGTGGAGTTTGACCTACGAAGGGAGCTGTACAGGGGTATACATATGCCTTGGTTTGCAGCACAACAACTGTCCCGTAACTACATGCAATGCATGCATGATCATGCAGGATTTAGGGGATAAAATAAGTGATGAGGCAGTGACATAATGCTTCCTTACCACCTGCCAAGCACCTTCTAAAAAGCAATCCACTGCAGATTGCTCCTCAGAGGACTAATGCATATGTAAAGAAGCCCTTATGGTTTCAGGGCCCATTCCCATTCCTGCTTTATGACAATGCGTGTAAGATTCACATTGCACCACAGGCTCTTGTAATGCACAGCGACGCATGAAGGTAATGTGGTGTGCTGCAGTGCCATTTATTGTGAATGGCTCCCGCATGTACTTAGTCAGTGCACCGAATTAATGTGTGTTTTAGCACATTGAGATGTAGAGATTTATTTTTAGCCGTCTCTGCATTGTAAAATATGGTGCAGCGCAACAATATCTGTTAAAATATGCATTGCAATGCATTAGCAGCCCCTTTCAGAATGAGCTTTAATACAATGCATGTAAATATATGAAAAAGTTTACATTAATGCACATGCAGTAACCCACCATGAGGCTTTGGAACAATCTGGGTGGGCCATGTGACGCTCTTTACTTTTTAACAGTAAAAGGCTCCGTTCCCACTAGTGCGACTTGTCATGTGACTTTGGACATATAAAATGTCGTGTGACAAGTTGCAGCCCATTGACTTCAATGGCACCCTTTCCAATCTATTAAACTTTGAAAAGGTTCCCGCATTACTTTGATGTGATTTTCTTACAACTTAAGTGTCAGAGAATGTAAAGTCACATGAAAGTCGAACTCTAAATCACGCTGCTTTGGAGTCGCACAAGTGGGAACGTACCCTGAATGTTATTTCACCCACTAGTACATAATATAACCACAATGTCAGCTTTATTTTTTTATATTTATTTAGCAGCAATATATTACATTGGATGTTTGAGAGTCCATAGATCCATGTTCATCAGTCTCTGTCCCCAGGAGCTCACACTCTAAGGCTCCATTCACATTTTGAATAGCGGTAATGCACGTTTCTACTTGCTGTTTTTGTTTGTTTGATTTGCATGTGATTCCACGTCATGCAATAGGGCAGCCCATTCACTTGAATAGACTGCTTGTTTGTGGCGCTAAAGAAGCAGTTGTACCAGTTTGGGTAATAAGCTTTGCACAATTGTTTCACATGTACTTTGCTGTAATTGCCACGTGTTTTTGTTGTGTGAAAATCATGGCAATATCGCATCATGTTTGGGTGGCCATTAAAAATGAATAGCACCCAAACATGTCACGCGTTTTACAGCGATAGCCATGCGATTGGATACATGGGCAGAATCGCACCAATTCTGCCCGCAATTACAAATCACTAGGTGTGAATGCAGCCTAATGTGTGGACATTATTGAACAGTGCCAGATGTGTCATTTGATTCAATATCAGATGTCAGTACATTGAGGTTGATTTACTAAAGGCAAATAGACTGTGCATTTTGCAAGTGCAGTTGCACTCTGCAAGGTCATTTGCTCCAGAACTCAGTAAATGAGGGGAAGCTCTGCTGACTTCCATCATCCAATCATGTGCAAGCAAAAATGTTGTTTTTTTTTATCTTCCTTACATGTGATTGGGTATCTTTTGCAAAGTGAAGATAAGCTCTGGAGCAAATGCCCTTACAAAGTGCAGTCTATTTGCCTTTTAGTAAATCAACCTCACTGAAAAGTAATGCGCAATGCCCATGTAGGAGATAATTACCTATTGCCTGCTCGTTTTTTGTTTTGTTTTTGTTTTTTTTTTCATTTTTCACACAGACAGTTTTGGTCTTCTAGCAGAACTCTACCTACCCAATACTGAGCTGTCCACAAATTCCTCCTTGGTCCAGTGCCGGTATGCTCATCATTCTGCCCATTTCCTCTGATCCCAGCCCTGGGACGTGCATCATGACTGGGCTCACAGTACTCCAGGACTGAGCGCTGATCACACCATTACTCTGTTCTGGAAAAATGCCCTCTGCACCAAAAGAAGACGTCCTGGTGATATCATTGCAGATGACTGCAGAAAAAGGGTAGGTAAGGGGGTGCTAACAAGTTATCCCAGTTTGGCAGCTTTACCCATCTTTATTGGCTGACCCGAGATGATGTAATTCCTGTGAATGCGAATGGAAGTCAGTTCATCCCGACACCAAAGCTTGCTGAGAATGTTTGCTAAGCTATGCATGTGTATGTAGCACCCTCCTAGGTTGCTAGGGGGAGCTCTAGCTTCAATTGTTAGTTAGAGGCTGAGTAGCAGCCTGAGTGTGATAGCCAGGTAAGTCAAATATACTGTAGGTCATAGCTGAGAGGCTCTGCAGACCAGCTCTCTGGAATTTCCCCCTGCTCTAAAACTTTGGAGAAAGATCTAGAAGCAGTGGGTGGATGTGAGAAGTGGCTGGTCTGTACTGTTAGAGTATCCTGGCCAATCCCCAACAGGAGGCTTGGCAAGGGGCCAGAACAGCCTTTAAGAGTAACTGAGCCTGCTCAGCAGCAGGAGAGTTGGAGGAGAGTTTGGGTGGAAGAGGAGACTGTAAGGCTGAGGAGCAGGAGCCTGGGATGGGGCCCACCTCCAGACAGGAGGAACTAGAGAGGCTGAAAGCTTGAAAATTCACCAGCCCCATGAGAGAGGACCACCTGTGCGGCAGGAAGGGGCGTTCCCACTAGAAGGCCTGGTAGCAACCAACGACCCACCAGCAACACAGGAGAAGGAGTGAGTAGACCTGCACCTCCTAAGCCAGATAGGGGAAGGAGGCACTCTAGTGATAAACTGGATTAGCGTGCCACCCAGAACTGTTACACCAAATTATGTGGCAGACACTGAATCCGCTGTTCAGGAATTCCTCCAGCAAGTCAGATAGAGGAGCATCTGGGGTCTGGGGTGATACTACAGGAGACACTGGCTATTTCTTCAAAAGAGACTGTTTGCTGTAACCATTTGTACATAGTTCAGGAAGTTGTCCTCGGTTTCTCGGTTCCATTGAGCATCCCGCACACCCCTTATCCCATCCAAGTTCTACATCCCCTAATAAAACTTCAAAACAAGCTTGAGGACCGGTCACTGACTTTTGAATGCAAGTCTGTGTGAAAATTCGTGTTGCATGGCTGTGCAGGACTATAGGGGGGACCCAAAACTTCAGCAACTCATAAGGGGGTAGTGTTACACATAGCTCAGTCTACAGTCTAAATAGGTTTGCAAGAAGGCTGGTAAGAAACTTTTATTGCAGAAGAGAGATATAGTGGAATTCATAAAGGGAATTGTAGACACCCTATAGGGTTCTGTCCGGGCAGCACCAAAAGTGTCATTGCTTGTGCCAGATTCATATGCTCATCCCCTCCATCCCAGCCACTGCGCCCATCACACTGACAGACGCATGGCCGAAGAGCTTTATACTAGGGGTGGTTGGAGCCTGATGGGAAAGTGCGAGACTAATTCCTCGTCCCCCTTAAGCTGGAATAGGCAGTGGAGTGTGATGTTTACATGCCATGGGCGCAATGCTTTGTGACTATAGCTAAGTTATCCAACATGTAGTGATTGTCACTCATCCAAGTCAATGGGGAAGCGCCGCAACTGCGTGCAGTGCATAAGGTGTGCGATTGTCGGCAAAAATGGGGTTCAAACAGACGGTGAGTAGGGGTTGCATCACTTCCTCATTGCCTGTCAGTAGCCTCTGGAGAGCAATCTGGAAGCAGATCGGGCTTCAAAACACAAACGTCTAAATCTCCTTATAGGGCTGGTTCACACAATAAAAATGCAGTCCAGACATGTTCAGGATGCGTTTCTGCATGCGCGTTTCTGGTGTGTTTTTGATGTGTTTTAGTGAATTTTTCCCCTCTTTTTTTCTTCACCTTAAATAAAGATGTGTGTTCTGGTGCATTTTGTATTCACTTTACCACGTTGCAGTACAGTCCAGTGTAGACAAAATGCAAAATGCAGCATGTTCTACTTTTTTTCTGGAACTGACCGCACTGGTGTGAATTATGCCACTGGAAACCATATAACCTACTGTCCATGCGTTTTTGATGCAGAAAAAAGCACACTGGACTGCAGGTGGTGTGAGCTGGCACTTACAAAGATTAAGTCTATGACAGATGTTTAATTGCTGTCTGTGTCCTCACTAGATAAAATCCTCCTCTCAGTGACCATTGTCATCAAGACAGGAAGTGATGGGAAATCATCACCAGAACAAGAGGTTGGGTATGTCATCCAATGGTCACATTTGATCCGGTGACTACTAAGGGAAATTTCCCTCACTTTATAGTTTTCCATTTGCCTCTCTAGAACAAGAAGTGAAAGGAAATGTCACCAATGCGACATGGAGAGGGAAAATAAACTGACAGGGAGAATCAGAGCTTCATCCATGTCTATGGCCCATCACTGCTGTGTATTTAGTATTGTAGTGACCATCGTGGTGGGGAAAGGATGATCTCTCCTGACATACAGTGTGTGAGCGCTCGTTTGCAGTACAAAGTATATACACCTTAATAATGGCATGCAATGCCAAGCTATAGTTTCTAAAGCGAGTGAAATCTTCTCTTGTATTAAAGAGGTATAGACTCCAGAGAGAGAGATATCATATTACCCCGGTACACATCATTAGTAACACCTCATCTGGACTATGCAGTTTAGTTTTTGCCCCCAATTCACAAAAAGAACATTGGGGAACTGGAGAAAGTGCAGAGAAGGGCAACCAAACTGATAAGAGGCATGGAGAAGATCAGCTATGAGGAAAGATTAGAGGAACTGAATGTATTCTCTCTTGAGAAGAGGAGATTAACCCCCCTGGCGGTGTAGCTCGGAGTAAAGTTTCAGTACCACAAGCGGTAACCCCGAGCTACACTCGGGAATACCATGCGGCGTTGCTCCACGATCCCTCGATCACTTACCTTGTCCTGCGCTCCCGCGATTTCCCTCCTGCAGTGTCCCCGGCAATGTCCTCCAGCGGATGCCATCATCTGTCATCTGGGTTCCGTCCCCTGCGTGCGTCGGGACGTACAGGGGATGGAACGGCGGGAAATTTGAAAATTACAAAAAGTGACATTCACTAAATACACTAAAATCACATAGTAAAACATTACTGTATCAAACCATTTCACATACATTTTGTCCCTACTGCTTTGTCCTGTACCCTGCCTGCATTTGTACTGTTCTTTCTGCCTGGAAACTGAGAAAAGTCCATGGCGTCCAAAAAGCATCCCTTTAGGTCAAAAGCGGTTTTAGACCAGCTAGAGAACAGCAATAGTAAATCAGAACCACTTGCAGAATTGAGTGATAATGATTTGTGGGGAAATTCGTCATCAGACACTGAAAACGATTTTGCAACTTTGCTCAGTGATGTGCGAACTTTGTGCTCAATTTCAAATTTCAGTGTTTTTGGTTTGATTATATTATTGAATTCAATTATTTATTATTCTATTATTATTTTTTAAATTATAATTTATGATTTCGTGTTTCAAATTGTTCGGACAGATTTCAGTAAGTTATTTCCTAAAAATTACAGGCCTACAATAAAAAAAAATACATATTTCCATGCAAAAAAATTTACCGCTTTGAGCACAGAAATATGGACATAATCAGACCGCTAGGGAGGTTAAGGGGGGATATGATCAACATGTATAAATACATCAGAGGACAAGGGGGCACTCTTTACATCTGGAGCAAAAGAAATGTAATCTCCAAATTCGGAAAGGTTTCTTCACAGTGAGAGCTGTGAAAATGTGGAATAGACTCCCTCAAGAGTTGGTTCTGGCCAGCTCAGTGGATTGCTTTAAAAAAGTCCTGGATTCTTTCTTAGATACACAGAATATAACTGATACTAACATTTATAGGTAAAGTTGATCCAGGGAAAATCAGATTTCCTCTCGGGGGATCAGGAAGGAATTTTTTCTTCTGCAGGAGCAAATTGGATCATGCTTTCCTGGAGTTTTTTTGCCTTCTTTGGGATCAACTGTGGGTATAGGATTATAACTTTTTTTTTTTTTAATGGTTGAACTAGCTGGACTTTTGTCTTTTTTCAGCCAGACTAACTATGTAACACCTAGCATGTGTACATCTGACCATGCCTTTGAAATGCATACAAGACCATCCTGCATGTGAAAAGAAATCCAATTCTTTCCAAGTTGTACCACTCAAGGCGACTCTGATGAGCCATGGGTGACAGGCCCAATACAGTGGATGCCTCCTATCGGAAATCACGAACAAACATTCAGTCCACATTGAGGTGTCACTCCCCAATCAGGGATCCCAATGACCAAGCCCTAAGGGCAAAATGTGTCCAGAGAGGAGTCATGTTCAGCAGGAGTAATGATATAAGAGGAGTCATGCAGTGGTCTGAAGTCTAGTGAAACTGAAGGAAAAACCACAGTAGCATGCAGCCTGGACGTTTGTTCATGATTGCATGTGACAAGTGTGGTCAGACAAGTTTGTTCCTTTTCAAAAAAGTGCTGAGTTGGCATAAATACAATAGAGAAGTTTTGTAAAGTGAAACTTCATGTCATAATAATGTAAGTAGGTTATGGGTCGTTACTGCATTCTCCAGTAATTTTAGACCTCATTTACATTTGTGGTTTGGGGGGCAAAAACACATGGTTGAGCCACGTTTTTAGTTCTTCCTCTAATTTGCCAAGGCAGTCTTTGCAACCCATTCAACACAGCCAATCACAGTGGTCATATGATTGGAAAGCCTGCTTCTGCTTACCAGGTATATTTCATATGGTGGTGGCAGGGAAGGCCCATGTTCCAGGGGCCCTGTGTGGCCCCCTGCACACCTGGATTCAAGAGGCAATGGGGGCGCATATAGAGGAACTAATCCCCTCCATTTTCCTCCTGCAGCCTTTCAGCGACTGTAGGAGGAAAATTGAGGGGATTGGTTCCTCTGCAAGCTGCCCTGACGCCTCTCCTAACCACCTCCTGCTGCTTACCGACCGCTATCTTGTCTTAATGAATAGAGTCAGTGACCTGTACTGATCACTGACTCTGTTCATTCCTAATTGGGGCATAGTAAACTGTGTTTACTATGCTTCCGTTTGTGAGTGAACGTAAAGCCCTGTACAGAGTTACTCCTGTCCATTCATTCTGTACAGCAGAGGTTGCAGAGGAGATAATCTTCTTGTTTTGTCTCAAAGGTGAAACATCAGAACTCTGTTTAGGCCCATGATAGTCCACCAAAGCCCCCCCCCCCCCAAGGGACTCCTAAAAATGTCGAAAATAATAAAGAAAATAAAATTGTAATAAATAAAATAACAAAAATAAAAAAAATTACACCAATGGTGGAACAACCAGGGTCACAAAGGTCGCACTTGCGACCAGGCCCCGGCATTCCGCCACCATGGGGGGACCCTGGCTGGGGGTGAGGGGGGCCCATTATGGCTTCTTGCATCGGGGCCCTGCAAGTTCTAGTTATACCTCTGGGTGGTGGCAGTCGAGGATGGGGGTTGTACAAACACTCCTCAAGCTGACTGTCAGCTTTCTGATGAAAGCAATTTGGTGACAGCACAGCTGCCTGATCACTTTCTGTGACTCCCAGATCTGCCTTCCAGGATCTGCTGTCTCATCTGTGGGCCTTAAAAGATCCCTGATGACTCATCAAAGAGAAACTGTCACTAAGAGTTTATGTCACATAGGGGACTTTTTGTCCCCTATGTGGTATAAATTAAGTTTTAGTGAAAAAAAAGTGTCAAAAAATAAAGTTACACTCAAGCACTAAGAACCCCCCTAAATAATTTCTGATCCTACCCTGCTCCTGCATACGCACACACGCAAATGTAAGCACGCCCATTAGGGGCGCCTACATATAAAAACATTACTTATGCTATATGTTGCACGTTTGCCTTGCACATTAGAGAAAAACCAATAATTCTAGGGCCACTATTCAAGGTTAACTCTAAAGTGATGACCTGTAGGGGCCACCTGTAGGGTCACCTATGGAAAATATAGAGTTCCAAAGATTGGCTTCGCTTTGCAAGTGTGCGCAATTTTAAAGCATGACTTGGTGGGTATCTGCTCATTCGGTGCAAACTCATCTTTTATATTTTACCCAAAAAAATGGGTAATATAATACGTTTGTGTGCCCTAAAAGGAACTTTAGTATATTTCTTGTTTGACAATTTGCATTTGATAAACTGCTGGACAAACATTGTGTGGAATACAAATATAGGAATTTCCACCATTCTATTCTCCAGGGTGTCTTCTTTTAAAAATATACAATGTTGGGGGTTTTACCTAATCTTCAGGCCTAAAATTATTGTTGAAGCATGTGAGCAAAAAACACAAAAATGAATTTAGCAGTGAAAGGGCTAAAGAGCCAGGTGGCAGTCAGTGGCGTAGTTATCAAAGGTATAAAGTGGAACTAAAGTCCACAATACTCACCAATGCTTCAATACCTGTGCGTTCTCTTGCTGATGCTGGTCTTCAGCTGTCCTTATTGGCCGAGACGGTATTTGTAAAAAAAGGTATACAAAAATTAAACTTGCGCCTAAGTACTTCAACCCCACCAAAAAATGTTTGCCCCCCCCACACACACACACCCACCAAGTACACACACGTACAAATGTAAATACATGCATCAGGAGCCTATGCACATAAAAGTTGATTGTGCCACACATGTTCCATTTCACCACAAATGCCAAAGTGACAGCAATAATTCTAGGACCATTTTTCACGGTTAACTCCAAACCAGGGGCGGACTGACAACTCATGGGGCCCCCGGGCAATAGGGGATCATGGGACTCCTATGTCCTTGCCCAAATTCAAAAAAGCCTATGAAAAAGGTACCAGGGGCATCTCTTGGGGCCCCTTACTGACCCCGGGCCCTTGGGCAGTGTCCGAGTTTCCAAATGGTCAGTCCGCCCCTGCTCCAAACTGTTGATCTTTAAGAGCTTTTAAAGCATCGCCTATGGAAAATATAGGGTACTGAAGTTTAGAAGGCTTATCATGTTGGGTGTCTACAGTGCCTTAAAAAAGTATTCATACCCCTTGACATTTTCCACATTTTTTCATGTTACAACCAAAAACGTAAATGTATTTTATTGGGATTTTATGTGGCAGATCAACACAAAGTGGCACATAATTGTGAAGTGGAAGGAAAATGATAAATGGTTTTCAACATTTTATACAAAGAAATCTTTGAAAAGTGTGGAGTGCATTTATATTCAGCCCCCCCTAGTCAATACTTTGTAGAACCACCTTTCGCTGCAATTACAGCTGCAAGTCTTTTTGGGGATGTCTCTACCAGCTTTGCACATCTAGAGAGGGACATCTTTGCCCATTCTGCTTTGCAAAATAACTCAAGCTCTGTCAGATTGGATGGAGAGCATCAGAGCAGCAATTTTCAAGTCTTACCACAGATTCTCAATTGGATTATGGTCTGGACTTTGACTGGGACATTCTAAAGCCAGCCACACATAGGTCGAATTCCGAAAGAATTTTCTTTCGAAAATCTTTTCTAAGAATTTTCGTTCGAATTCCGCACCATTAGTGGGCCATAGAAGTGGCTGATTTTCATGCGACCATCGAATTTGAGTGATCAGGCACGTTGGAAATTTTTTGAAAAACAAACGAATTTCTAATCAAGATCACGTGAGAAATATAATCGAAAAAGAAACAAGCATGAGCTGTGACCTGGAAAGAAAATTCTTTGCGACGAAAATTCTTTTCTGTAGCAACCTGTGAAATTGAAGGCTTGGTTGGTCGAATTTTGAAATCAATAGTGGCACTTACAAAACGTATGAAATTTCTGATTTTCTAAAGAAAATTTGTTCAGAATTCGACCCATGTATGGCCTGCATAACACATGAATATGCTTTGATGTAAATTATTCCATTATAGCTCTGGATGGATGTTTAGGGTCCTTGTCATGCTGGAAGGTGAACCTCCGCCCAGGGGCGGACTGACCATTTGGAAACTCGGGCACTGCCCAAGGGCCCGGGGTCAGTAGGGGGCCCCATGAGATGCCCCTGGTACCTTTTTCATAGACTTTTTTGAGTTTGGGCAAGGATACAGGGGCCCTATGATCCCCTATTGCCCGGGGGCCCCATGAGTTGTCAGTCCACCCCTGCCTCCGCCCCAGTCTCAAGTCTTTTGCAGACTAACAGGTTTTCTTCTAAGATTGCCCTGTATTTGGCTCCATCCATCTTCCCATCAACTCTGACCAGCTTTCCTGTCCCTGCTGAAGAAAAACATCCCCACAACATGATGCTGCCACCACCATGTTTCACGGTGGGGATGGTGTGTTCAGCGTGATGTGCAGTGTTAGTTTTCTGCCACACACAGTGTTTTGCTTTTTTTAGGCCAAAAAGTTCAATTTTGGTCTCATCTGACCAGAGCACCTTCTTCCATGTTTGCTGTGTCCTCCACATGGCTTCTCAAAACTGCAAACGAGACTTCTCATGGCTTTCTTTCAACAATGGTACATTGACATCCCTAGCCACCAATAGCAGTGCAGGTAGGGCGGAGCGCATGCGCCCCCTTCCCGCTAATGCAAAGCTCATATATATATGTGTGATTGTTGCGCAGCCCTGCCGCCCTGTAGCAGTACTACTCTACTAAAGGGCGGCAGGAAAGTGGTTGAAGTATGACATGTTTGCTATCTATTTACTTGGGGCAACATAATTTTTTATATTTTACCAAAAAAAATCAGATTTGACATTGTGTTTGTGTTCACTAAAATTCATTTAAGTGTATTGTTTCCTGAAAATTTGTGTTTGATAAAAGGCTACGCAAATATTGTACGACATAAAAACCTCTATTTTATTCTCCAGGGTCTCTGCTTCAGATAATATACCAGGTTTTAGGGTCAGTTCACACTACGTGCATTTCAGTTGCTTTTTTTCTGCATCCAAAACACACAGAAAGTATGTTATATGGTTGTCAATGTCAGAGTTCACATCAGTGCTTGCAGATTCAGTGCGTTCCGGTTGCAGAAAATAAAGTAAAACAGGCTGCATTTTTTCTGCACAGAACTGTACTGGAAAAGCACCGGAATGCACAAAAATGCACCAAAAACACACTTGAACGTACATGTCCATATTTAAATTGAAGAAAAAGAGAGAGGGAAAAAATGTACTGGAATGCATAAAAAAAATGTACTGGAATGCATCACAAATGCATAAAAAAACACACGGGAACACATCAAAAACGCACATGTGGAAACGCATCTGGACTGCATTTCTATGGTGTGACCCGGCCCTTTGGGCCAGTTCACATTACATGCGTTTAAGTTTATTTTTTCCTGCATCCAAAACGCACAGAAAGTAGGTTATATGGTCGTCAATGTCAGGGACGGACTGACCATTTGAAAACTCGGGCACTGCCCGAGGGCCCGGGGTCAGTAGGGGGCCCCATGAGATGCCCCTGGTACCTTTTTCATAGGCTTTTTTGAGTTTGGGCAAGGACACAGGGGCCCCATGATCCCCTATTGCCTGGGGGCCCCATGAGTTGTCAGTCTGCCCCTGGTCAATGTCATAGTTCACATCAGTACTTGCAGTTCCAAATGCAAAAAAAAAGTAGAACAGGCTACATTTGTTCTGCACAGAACTGTACTGGAACGCTGTAAAACACACCGGAACACCCCAAAAACACACCGGAACACCCCAAAAACACACTGGAGCGCACATGTCCCTATTTAAATTGAAGAAAAAGAGAGGGGAAGAAATGAACTGGAATGCATAAAAAACGCACCGGAACGCATCAAAACTGCACGACGTTTTTCTGCAGTGACTCCATTGAAGTCTATAGAACCAAGAAGGCAACATTCTGTGTTTAGAAAAGTCCCTGAACCTTTCCAAAAAACGCACCGAGTGAAAACGCGGAAATGTGAACCTGTCCCATAGGAAATCATGTCAAACGGACTTCTGTGCGTTTCTGCAAAACACAAAACACAGTGGAAAACGCTGAGGTGTGAACCTAGACTTAGGGCCCATTCACACGATAGAAACGCAGTCCAGATGCTTTCCGGATTTGGTCCCTCATGAGTGTTTTTGACGTGTTCTAGTGCATTTTTTTATGCATTCCATTTCATTTTTCCCCTCTCTTTTTCTTCAATGTAAACAGGGCCGTGCGTTATTCGTGCGTTCCAGTACACTTCTGTGCAGGAAAGCTGCAGCCTGTTCTACTTTTGTTTCTGCATCCGGAACGCACTGGAACTGCAAGCACTGATGTGAACTCTGACATTGACAACCATATAACATAATTTCTGTGCGTTTTGGATGCAGAAAAAAAAGCAACTGAAACGCACGTAGTGTGAACTGGCCCTTAGGGTTCAGTAATCTCTAGAGAACAAAGTGCAGCTTTGATCCCGTCTGTGAGAAATGTCAGGAGTGATGAGCAGATGACAACACACCCCGTATAATAACAATTAGATATAGTGAGAGGTTTTATTTTTACACCCGAGTCGGGGGTCCCTGTCGCCCCCCATTGCATCCAATGGCCCCGCAGCTGTTCCATTCGAACCTGTACTTTCCTCTCAGATAACGGGCTCGCCGCTCGGTACGATGTGGACACAATTCTTGTCTCTTCAGATTCCAGACCGCTGTAGCGGAATAATTAACGACCATAAACATGACACAACCCCCCAGGCAGCCCCAGGTACGGCTGTGCCCATTGGCGCCTCCATGAGGGCCCCAGCCTGGGAGATGAGCTCCATCCCCCCCTCTTCATTCACAGAGCCGCTGTCTCCCTGACAACAGACCGGCGCGTGCCTCCTCCAGCCGCGGGAGAAGGTTTCCCTCTCGAGCGCTTCTTTCGCCGGGAAAGCTCTCCCCGCTGACGTCACCCGCCAGAGGTTCCCCCGCTCGGCCAATCAACGGAGAGAACAGCTGGATATAAAAGCCGGCCTTGTCCGCCCTCAGGCAGATAAGCGCCGCAGACATGGTGGTATGTGAAGTCCGAAAGTCCGAGCAACACCTGCTCCTGACGGGTGAGGGGCCCCGGAGCCCCAGCAAGAGGAAGAGGGAGGAGAGCACCCCGAGGACGCGGGCAACGGCAGTCTGTGTGACAGCATGGGGGGTGAAGAGAGTCCGGTACCGGAGACACAGGAAGCAGACTCTGGAGGCCCGGAGCTGTGACTCGGGGGTGGGGGATCTGTATGAGACCCCCAGTCCCAGCCCGCACTCCCCGGTCTATGAGACCCAAGAGGAGCCCTGTCCGGGGATCTCCTACAGACAGGCCGTGCAGAACTTCCGAGACTATGGAGAGGAGGCCTATGTGTTCTACAAGAGCCTGGAGGACACCTACCTCACCCGCCACTGCATGGAAAACCAGCCACAGGTATCACCATCAGGGTCCCCATCAGAGACCTCCTTCCATCAGAGTCCCCATCAGAGACCTCCTTCCATCAGGGTCCCCATCAGAGACCTCCTTCCATCAGGGTCCCCATCAGAGACCTCCCTCCATCAGGGTCCCCATCAGAGACCTCCTTTCATCAGGGTCCCCATCAGAGACCTCCTTTCATCAGGGTCCCCATCAGAGACCTCCTTCCATCAGGGTCCCCATCAGAGACCTCCTTCCATCAGGGTCCCCATCAGAGACCCCCCTTCCATCAGGGTCCCCATCAGAGACCCCCCTTCCATCAGGGTCCCCATCAGAGACCCCCCTTCCATCAGGGTCCCCATCAGAGCCCCCCCTTCCATCAGGGTCCCCATCAGAGACCTCCTTCCATCAGGGTCCCCATCAGAGCCCCCCCCCCTTCCATCAGAGTCCCCATCAGAGCCCCCCTTCCATCAGAGTCCCCATCAGAGCCCCCCCTTCCATCAGGGTCCCCAACAGAGCTCTCCTTCCATCAGGGTCCCCATCAGAGCCCCTCCCCCTTCCATCAGGGTCCCCATCAGAGCCCCCCCCCCTTCCATCAGGGTCCCCATCAGAGCCCCCCCCTTCCATCAGGGTCCCCCTCCATTTGTGTCCCCATCAGAGCCCCTCCCTTCCATCAGGGTCCCCATCAGAGCCCTCTCCTTATATCAGGGTTCTCATCAAAGCCCCCTTCTCTTACATCAGAGCCCCCCCTTACATTGGGGTCCCCATCAGAGCCCCTCCTTACATCAGAGTCCCCATCAGAGCCCCACCTTGCATCAGGGTCCCCATCAGAGCCCTCCCCCTTGCATCAGGGTCCCAGAGACCCCCCCCCCTTACATAAGGGTCTCCTTCAGAGCCGCTCTTTACATCAGAGTCCCCATCAAAGCCCCTCTCTTACAGCAGAGTCCCCCTTACATTGGGGTCCCCATCAGAGTCCCCCCTCACATTAAAGTCCCCACCATATCCCCCCTTACATCAGAGTGCCAGATATAATCTTGCAGTGGGCCTGATTTAGAGACCCCTGATAGAGATACACATATCAGCCAAGGAAGTTGCTGTCTTAGCCTTTGTTTGATTTGCAGTTCAGGGTGCTGCACATGTGATCAGGTATGACACCAGCCATAGCACAAGCAACTGTGACAGTTATTATTCACAACATTCTTGGAATGGAACTGTTTTGGGAAACGGTTTAATTCCAGCATAAGGCTACCATACACTTTACAATCTGATTGTCACATAAGAAGACGCATAGTGCACACATGGTTGGATTCTTTGCATGCAATCACTGCCAGGGACTATAGCAGTCGGCAATGATCATTGTGTTCTGCCAGAAAGGAAGACTCCCTGCCAGCAGAACACAGTAGCACTGCAGTCAGTGTGGAGAAGGGAGGGGGGGGGGGATCAAGTTATTTTCTTTCCTTCTTCCTGAGGTGGAAGTAAAAAAAAGTTGTATTCTCTATGGCCGCCTTAGATTCCTTCTTCAGGCTTTATACATTTTAGCCAAAAGTCATAAATAATCTTCTGCTGGAGAACAAATGATATGTTCCTAGATATAATAAAAGAATAATAAAATGTTTCTCCTACATTTATGTGTTTGTGTTTCTCTGACAGCTCAAACCCGAATCTCGCTGCAAACTGATCAGCTGGCTGATTCCTGTACATAAACACTTCAAGCTGGGCTTCGAATCCCTGTGCCTTGCCATCAATATCCTGGACCGGTTCCTAGCCTGCACCCCTGTGGCCACTGACTGCTTTCAGCTAGTGGGTGTCACCTCCTTACTTATTGCATGCAAACAGGTATGTACATCATCCAATTGTGAGATAGATAGGCACTGTGCATCTATTTTACAATTCGTCTATACACAAGTGTCGCTTTTCACTTTTTAGGGGCAGCTGCATACCCTCAGCCAATGCTGGGGGGCAATATTAATTACCCTTCCTAGCGGTAATCCCAAGTGTTACTCAGGGTTAATTTTCAGTACCAAAAGCGGTAACCTCGAGCCACACTCGGAATTACACTGTAGTCCTTGTCCTGCGATCCCCTGATCCTTACCTTGTCCTGCGATCCCCTGATCCTTACCTTGTGCTGCGATCCCCCGATGTCCTCCCGCTGTGTCCTCTAGCCGGTGCCGGCATCCGTCTTCTGGGTTCTGTTCCCTGCGAGCATCGCGATGCAGGGGGCGGAGCCGGCGGGAGATTAAAAAAAGTAAAAAACGTGACATACACACAATACATTGTAATCTGTTAGGATTACATTACTGTATCAAACCATTTCACCTAAATGTTGTCCCGAGTGCTTTGTTCTGTGCCCTGTCTGCACTTTTACCGTTCCTTCTACCTGGAAACTTGAACATCCATGGCATCCAAAAAGCGTCCCTTTAGGTCAAAAGTGGTTTTAGACCATCTAGAGAACAGCGATTGTGAATTACTGTAGAATCATTTGCAGAATTTGAGCGATAGTGATTTGTGGGGAAATTCATCATCAGACACAGAAAGTGACAACAGCGACTATTCTGCGACTGAGCTCAGTGACGTGCGAACGTTACACTCTATTTCAAATTTCAGTGTTTTTGGTTTTATTACATTATTGAATTAAATGTATTATATTATTTTTTTAATTATTTATTATATTATAATTTATGATTTTGTTTTTCAAACTTTATCATATCCAGAATGTTTACTAGACTCTTGTTTGGACAGATTTAAGTGGGTTATTCCTAAGAATTACAGGCCTACAATATAAAACAACAAATTACCATACAAAATAATGGTCAGCACTTTACCCGGCAGTACTAGGGTCGTTGGTTCGAATCTCAACCACGGCACCACCTGCCTGGAGTTTGCATGTTCTCCCTGTGTCTGCGTGGGTTTCCTCCGGGTACTCCAGTTTCCTCCCACACTCCAAAGACATGCTGGTAGGTGAATTGGCTCCTGTCTAAATTGGCCCTAGTATGTGTATGTATGAATGTAAGTTAGGGACCTTAGATTGTACACCCCTTGAGGGTTAGGGACTGATTTGAATGTATAATATATATGTAAAGCGCTGAGTAAATTGATGGCGCTATATAAGTACCTGAAATAAATAAAAATAAATAAAAACAATGTACCGCTCTGACATTCAAAAACATTGACATAATTAGACCACCAGGGAGGTTAACATTACTTTAATAGATTTATTTTTCAATTTGATATCAAGCATTAGACGCCACAATAATTCATTATTTTTCGAATGTACATCATCCAGACAAATGTTATTTTTTTTTCCTATTAACGGGGATCACTGGGGATTTTAGAGGCACTAGACAATGATTGGGGAAATACTAGCTATGGATTTTGCAGAATGCAGAGAGTAATATTCTGCTACAGGCACACCCAGGGGTGGACTGACCATTTGGAAACTCGGGCACTGCCCGAGGGCCCGGGGTCAGTAGGGGGCCCCATGAGATGCCCCTGGTACCTTTTTCACAGGCTTTTTTGAGTTTGGGCAAGGACAAAGGGGCCCCATGATCCCTATTGCCTGGGGGCCCCATGAGTTCTCAGTCCGCCCCTGGGCACACCTACTCATAAAAGCTCAAGTTCAGAGTGCTGGCTTCCGGCAGTCACTGGCTGCTCCTTATAATGTATCCACAATACTCTTCAAAAGAAGGGGAAGCTGCACACTGTGTAGAAGCCTTGTACAAGATTATTAGGCTCTCTGATACAGACGGTTCCACTTGTTTAGCAGAAATTTGCATTTCACTTACTATGCACCACTTACTTACGCCCCGGTCACATCAAGCCTGACTTTGAAATCATGCAACTTACAGTGAAGTCCAGGGGCGGACTGACCATTTGGAAACTCAGGCACTGCCCGAGGGCCCGGGGTCAGTAGGGGGCCCCATGAGATGCCCCTGGAACCTTTTTCATAGGCTTTTTTTGAGATTGGGCAAGGGCACAGGGGCCCCATGATCCCCTATTGCCCGGGGGCACCATGAGTTGTCAGTCCGCCCCTGGTGAAGTTGCATGATTTTAAAGTTGGGGGACATGCCGATTTCAGGTATGATTTCCAAGACATCTGGCACAGATGTCTATGCAAATTGCACCAAATGTAGTGCATGTACTACTTTAGAAACCGGTGCGGCTACGACCAAGTCAGAACCGCACCGATATGACCGCTGTAATTGCGGACAATAGGGTGCGACTTGGCATGCAATTTGCAAGTCGCATTACATGCAAACCGCATGCCAAGTCGCACCTAGTGAAACCGGGGTCTTATAGGGTAAAACTCACCTAAGCTGCATATTTTCAAACCAGTTTAGCAGCATTTGGTTCATGTATTTTCATTTATTCTGGGCACTGAAATAGATAAACTGCTAGTGTTTGGGTGAGTTTATATGCGTTTAGGAGTATTTGGCGTTTTGAAATGCTGGTAAACTCTTGTCCTGAATGCAGTTTTTGTGCTTTCAGAGAAATGCCAGTAAACTCAGCTGCCTGTGAACTCCTATAGAAGACTGTGTACATGAACATGTAGGATAACATAGAGGAGAGCTCAGGGGCTTCAGAAAAAAACACCCATCTGCTCCTAAATGTCAGTTTAGCAGCTGCAGTGTACATGAGGTCTTAGGCTCCATGCACACTGGGCTTAAAAAAAAAAAAAAAACCCGCCAGTTCCCTTGGCAGAAAAAAATGATGATATAGTGCATTTTTGTATACTGTTTAGGCGAGTTTAAGAGAGTTTAGCATTTTTTTTTTCTGCCAGAAAGCTCAAAAATGCAAACCAGAAGCATTTTTTTCCCTGCCTCTAAAGCATTATGTACCCATGAACTCACCTAGTCGTTAAAATCTCCTGGCAGCAGAAAAATGCTAAATGCGGCAAAAAATGCATGTAAACGCAGTACCATATTTACTTGCGGTTAGCCACGTTTAGCGCTTGGACATTTATTCATTTGATTGGCCAGAGTATCTTCCATTGATATGGATAAATGCCCAAGCGCTAAATGTGGCTAGCGTTTAGCTGCGTTTTTGCCATGTTTATCGTTTTTTTTCCCAAAACGTTCCTCTCCTAAACACAATGATTCTGCGTTCAGAAGAGGAATGTTTAACTGTTCCTAAACTGTGCTGCTCCTAAACTCTGGTAAAAGCCTATGTATACAATGACACACAGGCTTGTACTGAGCTGAGTCCAGGGGCTTTGGCAAAAAAAACCCAAAAGCTCCTAAACATGTACATGAGGCCTAAACGTGAGCTTAAAGTATGGCTCTAAATGTCCTAATGTGCATGGACATATAGGAAACGGAGCTGCTTCTACTGGCAAAACACAAAACTCCTGCAGAAGCAGTTATTTCTAAGCCCACTGTGCATGGAGCCTTAGGCCTCATCTGCACTGCTGCTCCTAAATGTGAGTTTAGGAGCTTTTGGCGTTTTGTTTTTTTTTTTTTTCCTGGCCAAAGCCCCTGAACACAACTCAATAAAAGCCTATGTGTCCATGTACACAAAGGCTTTTACCAGAGTTTAGCAGCAGTTAAACGTTCCTCTTCTGAACGCTTTGGCCGAAAAACACTGTACACGGCAAAAACGCATGTAAACGCAGCTAAACACTAGCCATGTTTAGTGCTTGGGCATTTATCCATGTCAGTGGAAAATATTCTAGCTAATCAACTGAATAAATGTTCAAGCACAAATTGCGGTACCTTGTTTACACGCGTTTTTGCCATGTTTAGCGGTTTTCTGCTGCCAGGAGAGTTTAACGACTACGTGAGTTTGTGTACATGAGATTTAATGCTGATTTTCTCCTGTCAGGAGAAACAGCATTTATAATAAATCACTATGCATGAAGCCTTTTATATCAGGGCTCATGCACCTGTTAGTATTAGACCTCGTGCACACTGGGCCTTTTAAAAATGCTGGTAGCGTTGGCTATATAAAGTTGCATTAAAAATGCATGTTTTCCACTTTTTTAAGCGTTTTTGCATTAGTGTTTTGCCACATTTAGCCGTGTTAGCATTTTTTAGCTTTTTTTTTTTAACCACAAAAAAAAAGTTTGTTCCAAGAACGCTCAAAAACACTGGTTTGCCGCATTTTATCACATTTACCAGCGTGAGAGCATTTTTACAGCTAAAAAACTCCTCTTGAAACCCACTAGTTCTGGGGTTTTTTCCAGCCAGAAAACGCCCCTACCAAAAAATGCTGATTAAAGCCTATGTGTGTATGAACACATGCTGGGCAGTTTACTGGCTGTAGAAAAATAATGCCAGAGCCAAAAACAGCATCTGTAGAAAGGCATGTCCTCATGCACACTGGACGTTTTGATAACGCTGGTAATGTTAGTTGTGTAAAGTCGCTTTAAAAACTTTTTTTTAACTTGTTTGCATTTGCGTTTTGCAGTGTTTTTCCACGTTTGCATTTGTTAGCGTGTTTTTTTTTTTTTTTTTTTTTTTTTTTTTTTTTACCAAATACAAAAAAAAATTTTTTTTTGATCAAAAAAAGTTAAAAACGCCGGTTTGTGGCATTTTGCTGTGTTTTTCAGTGTTAGAGCGGTTTTACAGCTAAAAAAAAACTCCTAGAAACCTACTAGTTCTGTGTTTTTTTTTTGCCAGCCAAAAAAGTTGATTACAGTCTATGTGTGCATGGACACATAGGATAACATGCTGGGGGGGTATACTAGCTGTAGAAAAAAAAAGCCAAAAACAGCCGCTGTAAAAACATCCAGTGTGCATGAGGACTTCAAATCAGTCAATTAATGAAATGAACTCACTGGTTCATGAGATGGGGCATTTCACTGATGCACAGAGATGCATGTCAAACACAGAATAAACACTCAACAAATAAAGATACATTGTCACCCAGTGTTCTAGAATGCACCATACTGTCACAGAAAACTACATTGTATCATTGTATCAAATATATACACAGTTCCTCATGTCAATCTGTCAAAGTATAGTGGAAACTGTGCAGCAGGGAAAACCATCTTAATAAACTTCTATGTTCTCAATTGTACTGTAAATTCTCAAACACCATGAAGCCATCAATCCATCTAACATTTTTACTACCACTAAAATCACAATGTTAATTAAGACAAAAATAAAAAAATAAACAATAATAAACGAATATGATCGGTTAGTATATAATCATCTCATATGTTCAATCCAATACTGACACAGATCAGGAGACCTCATAGTGATTAATATTTCCATATCACAAGAGTATCCATTCAGGAAAGCAGAAAAAAAATGTGTGGTACAAGCAACTGTTATGGTATTCATCGTGGTCACATCTACCCATTATTAATTTACTTTAATAGCTCCTTTATACTGACCTTAGACTTATTGCACCAGAAATCGTCATACCTTTATACATTGTTACTAATATTACATTCTTCCTTCCAGGTGGAGACACGGCCGCCCCGAGTGAAGCAGCTGCTTGCCTTGTGCTGTGATACCTTCTCCAGAGAGCAGCTCTGCAATCTTGAATGCATCATCTTGCTTAAACTCCGATTCCAGCTGGCAGCACCAACCATTAACTTCTTCCTGCAGCACTTCTCTCTCCTGCAGGTTGCTGATGGTCACCCCTCAGATGCTGATCTATCCCAGGCCTCCAGGTCACTAGCTGTAGCCAAAGGCATTGCAGAACTGAGCTTGGCTGATTATGCCTTTAACTCCTACCCTCCATCACTAATGGCGGTTTGTTTCTTGGCACTCTCAGAACAAATGTTGGGCAATGAAAGGCCCATCAGTGTCCAGAGCAGCGGTTACTCTGAGAGCCAACTGAGGGAGTGCATGGACAAGATTGACTTGCTTATCTCCTTAAACCGAGATTCTTTGCATCGCCTGCTGCCTAATGAAGTCCCTGATAAGAGTATGGATGTGGATAATTAGAGGTTCCTTTTTTTTAAATACCAACTTCACCCAAAACTAACAGTTTTGGGTAGGGAGGTGTGAGGGGAATGGCTTTCTGGCCTTTAAAATCTCGTGGTGGTCTTTTCTCTTGCCCACAAAGTCATAGCAAGGTGCCACTCCTGAAGCTGAATTCCTGAATTTTCCCTGTGATGTGACACCATGAGTATGTCCTGGAATGGCAATGGCAGTTGGGCAGAGCTGGAAATTCTAGTGCAGGTCTCTCACCACTGTAGGTCTTGGAAAATATATGAAGCAACCCATAACTCATACCCATATCCACAGCAAACTGAAATCTGTATGGGAAGGAATCAACCTTCAAATTTGTTGTACTAAATCCCTTTGATAAGTTGTTAACTTTAGGTGATCACTGTCCAACCTGTATTTAATGCAATGTAAAAGGCTGCTAAAAGTCTAATTTATTAACAACACAATGAAGTACTTGATTTTATTTAAGGATACTGAGGTGCTTCCAATCTAACAGTATTGCGTTTTAGCCAAATACTTGAATATTATTTTTTTTTATTTATTTGTAGTGCAATATTTTTTATTTGATGTGTTAGAGTTTGAAAATCAAGCACGAAACATGACCTGTAACTTGTAGCATTTACTTCTGCTGTTTTACATTGCTACTAATATAATTTGCACTGATATTTTACACTTTTATATACTTTTTGTATATAGTGTAGGTAACAATACACTCACTGTTTATATTAAACAATATTGACAATGTAATGAAATTAATTTACTGTTGACAGTACAAGAATGAATAAATTGGTCCAAACTGAACATCTAGACCTGTGTGCTCTGTACAGATATAAATATAGAATAAAAAAGAAATTATTATTATACAGTATTTATATAGCGCCAACAGTTTGCTAGGCGCTTTACTATATATATGTATGTGTATGTCTGACACTCCTTACCCTCATCTATAATTATTGAATCACTGAAAATTAGTCCAGGTATATGAGTGAGTAGCATCAGAAATGTATTGGTGATCACTGTATCAGCATCACGATTAAAGTATTTCTAAAGCCAAATATTTTTTTTTTTTCGATGGTTATAAGTTACATTGATCCAGAGCAGGCCATTGTGTGTATGCATGTTATGCCTTGTTCACTGCGCAGCACAGCAGCCACTCAGAACCGGACCTGGAAGATTGTGACAATGGTAGAAACAGCACCTACTAGAGTGATTTCCAGCTTCCACGGGAATCAACGAGGTATGGCATATACAGGTATGAGGTGGTATCAAAATGTTTTGAGACTAGTTTTGTAACACCAATGCCAATGAATCATGTCAATCATTTCTGTGGCAGATTTGCCAAAGTTTCACACAGAATTTCATGTTTGTTCTAGCTTGCTTTCATGATGAAATAGCAGACGTGGTCAGAATGGCACCAGTTGCACAGCTCCCGATGTACACAGGATGATGCCTTTTGGCACATTGACTTATGAAGGATGGTGCTCCCTGTGACTGTGCATGCAGCCTTGTGCTGCCATCTGTTGGCTTGTTACAAAACTAGTCTTGAAACTTTTTGATATCACCTCGTACATACTTACATCACTCCAAGAGGGGACCAGTGTAACAATGCAAAGAAAAAAAATCCACACCTAAACTTCAGCTCTATCACCCCTTCTATAGACCCAACAGAAAGTGCAAGGAAAGCACTTCAAAATAAGGAAAATCTTAGAAAGTTATCATTGGAACAAGTGTACTCATTGTGGGATTTCCCCTCTACACTTGTTTTTGTGACAACTCAAAATTCTGAAGTTTAACTTTCAGTGTGAATGAAAACAGTCAGTTATAGAGAGTGCATCTCCGGAGTGGGGCTACAGTTGCTAACCATTCCTTGTTCTGTTCAAAGCTTTGACTTCAGTTACTTTATTGTCTGTGTCACGGTCAGCGTGTGTGTGTGTGTGTGTGTGTGTGTGTGTGTGTGTGTGTGTGTGTGTGTGTGTGTTCACAAGGCAGTTATCACCAGTAAGTTCATAATTTCCCTCTCCAGGATTGAATGACTGCACAAAGGCTCAACCACTTTGCAGCCATTGTAGGGTGTGTGTGCTGAGTGCAGGGTGTAGGCATCTATCTATAATAAATACCTTTTCATTGTGGTTAGGTAAATTATAGTCACCAGAATTTAATGGAAATTGTACGTCCAGTTAAAAGCCATAGTTAGTAGCCACAACTGCTAAAATGGGCCACACACTAAGACAGTAATACATTCTGATTCAATGCTGAACTAAAGCAGTGTTAAGCTTTGTTAATACATAATAAATGTTTGTTTTTGAGTTTATCAAAGCTTAGTAGTGGTGACTGTATAAGTTTTTTTCTTTTTTAGGCTTTTGTCCTTTATTTTTACCTGCTGATCCAGGCAGTATATCTGTTATGCTGGCCATATATTATTCAATTTTCTTGAGATTTTTGCTTTAGATTTACCAAAAACCACATAATATGAGGTTAAACATGAACAATACTTTCAATTGTATCCAATTAGGCAGACCCTTGCACTAAATAGTTGAAGGTAAATCTAAAGGAAATTGGACAGAAAATTGTATTGTGTATGGCCAGCATTAGTTTTCTCCTTCCTTTACCAGAGCAAGCTGTCCTGCAAAAGTAGAAGTTAAAGGGTTGAGACAAATCATTTACCACTGACAGAGGGGCATACATCAGTCAACTTTATTCATTTATGTAAAGCCTTTATCCCATAAAGGAAGAAAAATGTTTCTGTAACTGCTTATGTGCATCTAAGTCTGCTAGTACAGGACATCTAACACTGCCCTCCCCCAGTCTGAGAATGCCATTGTCCAAGGATGGCTCTGCTGCTTCTCTATCCAGAATGGAGACACCATAAAGCCTTGTATAGGGTTTTTTTTTTTTTTTTTTTGGTTCAACTCAGTGGGTTGAATTTAAAAAAATTGACAGATTGCCATACCAACACAAGTGTTGTTAAGGGGGCAATCTCCCTCCCTGTGCATTCCCTTTGTATTCCACAGGGGCACTAAAACTGGGGAATGCTAAATTTGGTGCAGCTGTGCAGAGAAACCAATCAGCTTCCAGGTTTTATTGCAGAAGCTTTATTGAACAAGCTGAAGTTAGAAGCTGATTGGCTACCATGCACAGCTACACCTGATTTTGCACTCTCTGGTTTTAGTAAATCCGGGAGGGGAAATGGCAGCTTCTCAGAAGTATTTGTCATTGTGATGGATTCTCTTTAAATCTATCTAGAGGGCATTCTCCATCATCCTGTACATTTCTTACATTGTTCTCCATTCATCTTTCCCTGGACTGCCCCCTCCTAGGATCCTGTCACACCTGGATCACTCTGTACCTCCCAATCACTAACAATTTGATCAGACTTGTGTCCTTCAGGTCCATCCATACAGCCCATGATGTGTGATCAGAGGTCTGACCTCCAGTCACCAGAGAGCGCTCACACATTGGCAGAGCTGCCCTTGCAGATGTTGGTTTCTATATACACTGAGGATGGACGACCGATAGATGGCAACACAGCGGAACCAACGAGGGTGCCAATGAGGGAAAGGGGCAGTGCGGACCGGGCACAGTGCCTCTAATGACCAGGAAACAGCGACACCTGCAGAGGGCACTGTACAACTGCACCAGAGACACTCTGTTTATCATCATACACTGAGCAATCCTGTCGTCATCCCTGCCAGATACTTACACATACCCACCCAGTATATACTGTATCTCCATACACACAATAGCTCTATTATCTTCCCTGCCAGGGACCAACAGCACAGGGTGCAGAAGTCACCAACTGTTTGCAAAGTCAATAGCTAAAGACCTCCAAACTTCATGTGGCCTTCAGATTAGCACAACAACAGTGCATAGAGAGCTGCATGGAATGGGTTTCCATGGCCGAGCAGATGCATCCAACCCTTACATCACCAAGTGCAATGCAAAGCATCGGATGCAGTGGTGTAAAGCATGTCGCCACTGGACTCTAGAGCAGTGGAGACATTTTCTCTGGAGTGACAAATCAAGCTTCTCTGTCTGGCAATCCAATGGATGTGTTTGGGTTTGGCGGTTGCCAGGAGAACGGTACTTGCTTAACTACATTGTGCCAGGTGTAAAGTTTGGTGGAGGGGGGATTATGGTGTGGGGTTGTTTTTCAGGGGTTGGGCTTGGCCCCCTTAGTTCCAGTGAAATGAACTCTTAAGCGTCAGCATGCCAAAACATTTTGGATAATTTCATGCTCACAACTTTGTGGGAACAGTTTGGGGATGGCCCCTTCCTGTTCCAACATGACTGCGCACCAATGCACAAAGCAAGGTCCATAAAGATATGGATGAGCCAGTTTGGGGTGGAGGAACTTGATTGGCCTGTACAGAGTCCTGACCTCAACCCCATAGGACACATTTGGGATGAATTAGAGCAGAGATAGCGAGCCAGGCCTTCTCGTCTGACATCAGTACCTGACCTCACAAGTGCGCTTCTGGAAGAATGGTCAAACATTCCCATACACACCCTCCTAAACCTTGTGGACAGCCTTCCCAGAAGAGTTGAAGCTGTTATAGCTGCAAAGGGTGGGCCAACTCAATATTGAACCCTACGGACTAAGACTGGGATGCCATTGAAGGTAATGTGCGTGTAAAGGCAGGCGTCCCAATACTTTTGACAATAGAGTGTATAAATTTCCATACACATACTGGCTCTATCATCCATGTACATATCTCCGTACACACACTGGCTCTATCATCCATGTACATATCTCCGTACACACACTGGCTCTATCATCCATGTACATATCTCCGTACACACACTGGCTCTATCATCCATGTACATATCTCCGTACACACACTGGCTCTATCATCCATGTACATATCTCCGTACACACACTGGCTCTATCATCCATGTACATGTCATCCCCTCCGTACACACACTGGCTCTATCATCCATGTACATATCTCCGTACACACACTGGCTCTTTTATCCATGTATACATCTCCATACAC